CTTCTCTGGGTTGGCTTTTTGCACAGCGCTGTTCCAGGAAAGCATGCAGCTAAAGGCAGTAATAAAGCTAAATCATCAGCTGGGGTAAGCCATTGCTGTTCCTCAAGAACTGGGGGTTTAGGACCACCTATGCTAACCGGGGCTCTGCTCCGTATGAAGTGTCACCACTCCCTTCAGCCCCAGCAAAAACCTGTTTCCTACGAAAACGTCACGGATTTAGGGACAGCACAACAACTACTGCTTTTCGTGTTGACAGCAGTGGCTTCCCATCACTCTGAGCCTGTTTTAGCATTGCCTCTTTTGCATAGCCTGAATTAATTTAAACGACTGTAATTAGCCTTACTACTAACTATCGTTTTATAAATAGGAGGAATTATGGGTTGCTTACTGAATATTAGCAAACCCTGAAGTTAGTCATATTTTTGCTGAAAAAAATTACATTGCAATGTTGCCAGGAGCAAGGTCAGTTGCCTGAGGCTTAGGCACTGGGGTCTCATTAAATAACTGTTCCTCGGGGTACTAAATTAAAAAAAAAAACCCAACAAACCCAAACCATAACGTCAGAAGCAGGCATGGAGCAGAGGCTGGGACCTTGGTAGCTTGCTGTCAGTGCAGGACTAAGGCTACAGCAATAAAGTTGCAGCCATGAAAGGTGTAAGTGGATCCTTGCCCTCCTGCCAAGGAGATGACATCACACCCCAGTGGTAAAGGGTGTTCCAGCACGTTTGCTTCCACGCCGTTAACTAAAAAATGATCTTGCAACAAAACCTTCACTGAGGATGCCCTAAAAGGCAGAGAAAGTGGAATAAAAATCCTTGATCAAGGGGAGAGGTTAAAAATATTTACAACAGAATATCTTGGAAGTGCCACAAACGCTTTGGGGTTTTTGTGTTTGGTTTTTTTTTTTTCCTTTCTTTTTTTTCTTTTTCTGTGGTTTGCATTTGAGAGGGAGATAAGCGAAGGGCTTGTTGGGAAGTACGGTGTGAAGGGGACTCAGACACCCTGATAAATAATTCCTCAATTAAGAAGGCAATAGCCCTGCATGCAGGTGTTTACATGAGTGCATACATTGCGTATACATCCTGTTATCTACCACCGATGTCTCATGACAAGGTGTTAATGATATCAATCTGTTCCTGTTCATACGATGCTCTGGTTTCTTCAGT